AAGAGGGCGTGAGGGGGCGGGGAGCAAAGGGGAGGGTCGTCATTTATAGCAACGTTCTCAACGTGTGCGCGACCGTGCACCCGTCGCCGCAGACGTTGCTCGATGTACTCTCTCGGCGTAAACGGCGCCGGCTGATGATGCGTGCGCGCGGTGGGCCCACCACGGCGGGAGTACAATCGCAACTTCGACCTCCTGGTACACGCGGCCTCCCCTCCTCCTCCTCCTCCTCCTCTTACTACTTCATGAAGAAAGCCGAGCCAGGAACCACCGTCTCACGACAGGCAGATCTTGATTCACTGCCTGGCGTAACGCTCCCTCAAACCCTGACAGTTGGCGATACTCCGACCTTCGCCGCGCGGGATGATGGCCTGCCAAGTACTTTACCAAGTATTATCGAACGCCCGTTTCTTCCACTACCACACCACTAATTGGGCTGCAATTCCGAGCGGTCTCTATGAACTAGCAAGCTGAAAGGACTCCGCACAATTCCTTATGTAAATTGGATTTCACTGAAATTGACTGAATATTTGATATGTTGTAGATCTTGTCTCTCTGATAAAAAGTTCCCATAGGCACAACCCCCGATAATTGACCATTTGACTTCTACGAGGCGTCAAATGTCAAAAGTGTCTAATATCACAATTTCTTATTTTCAACAAGTAATATGTGTTCCTACTTTGATTTACATCTACAAACTTTTTTTCTGTGTATATTTAAAAATAAAAAGCTATAAAGATTGACTTGAAGATGATGACTTGATTTCAGAGATTTCAGTGACACTTTCATTTTCTATGTGAAACACGTGTTTCAATGTATAATATACATTGACAACCAAGTGTACTGTTCGATTATGTTTCACTTTCTGTCGAAAACACAAAGCACAATTTTTTTAATTAAACTATACTTTAAAGTGTACCAATTCAGAATATTTTTGGTTCATTTACAATTAAGACACAAGCGTGCATCAAATCAATTTGCCTATCAGCTTCTTCGCACCTTCTTATAGCTATTTCTCGTTTTATCGCATTATTGTCACCATTTAATCGAACTAACTGATTTGGACGAAAAGCTCGATCATAAACAAGACAAGGCATTTGATTTCTATTTGCCATTTTAGTCAATACTAAATATGCAACATAGAAGAAATGCGGGTATTGTGTAATAGTGGGGTAATGTGAATTTTTCTAGTCTGTCAAGTATCGTATCCGAACGAATAGCAGTGGAATTATTAGCCGCTGGACATTACATGTGACTAAAAAGTGAATTTCTAATGAACCAAAAATATTCCAAAATTATTACGCTTTAAAATATAGTTTAATTAAAAAAGTTATGCTTTGTGTTCTCAACAGAAAGCGAAACATAATCGAATAGTTACACTTAGTTATCAATGTATTATACATTGAAACACGTGTTTCACATAGAAAATGAAAGTACCACTGAAATCTCTGAAATCAAGTCATCGTCTTCAAGTCAATGTCACCTTTATAGCTTTTTATTTTTAAATATACACCGAAAAAAGTTTTTAGATGTAAGTCGAAGTAGAAACACATCTTACTCGTTGAAAATAAGAAATTGTGATATTAGACCTCGAAAAAGTCAAATGGTCAATTATTGGGGGTTGTGCCTATGGAAACTTTTTATCAGAGAGATAAGATCTACAACATATCAAATATTCAGCCAATTCCACCGGAATCCAATTTACATAAGGAATTGTGTGGGGTTCTTTTTGGAATTACACTTGGATAGGGTGTGGGAGTAATTAAATATGAAATTTATTTATTTATGATGTTGGTCCCGGCAATTGTTTATTAATTTTTTATTAATAATTTGTTAAAAGCCGAGTTTCAGGGTTTTGCTTTTTAATGATAAGTCCGCAACATTCGCCGGGAAAAATTTGTCTAATCGCTTTAATCAGTTCTGAGAACAGATTGAAGTTCATTTGACGTATTTCCCGCCATCAAAGATACTCGCGAAGATGATAGTTCAAGTTGCTCCGATAGAACACTGCCTCTTTGCAACCTGAGTCATAAAGGTACCCACTGGAGTTCAATCATCTGAATGTTAGCTTTCTGAATGTTCGGTTTCTTTGCAAACAAATGTGATGTTATAATTCACTTTAAAATGACTGTATCTCTTATATTCCAAGTTAGATTAGGTTAGGTTAAAGATAAATTAAATCAACCAAAAAATTTTCAAAGGAAGACAAAGAATTGCAAAATCTATTGAATGAAAACACAACACAAAAACGCAATAAGAATTTGCGGAAAAGCTGGCAGTAAGTCAGAAAACTATTTGCGATCGTTTACATCGTATGGAAAAGATACAGAAAAAAGGGAAGTAAGTTCTACACGAGCTAACCATTGAGGACAAAAATCGCCGATTGATCACATGCGTCACCTTGCTCACCGGATAACAAAAAAAAAAAGATTTTTGCACAAAATCGTAATTGGTGACGAAAAATGGATGGATGTATGAAAATCGTAAACGCAAAAAATTATGGGTAGACCCTGGCCAATCGACAACGTCGACAGCAAAACCCGTTTCGGAAAAAAAGTTCTTTGTACATGGTGGGGCCAGAAGGGTGTGCTGTATTATGAGCTCTTAAAATCATTAGAGCAAAGATTTATTGTACCCAATACCAAGAGCAATCGGTACGTTTGAGCGGTGTAATTGAGAAAAAAGGCCATTTACTGGACAAGGCAGCCGTAAAGTTACCCTGCTGTACGACAATGCTAAACCACATACAACAGAAACCACAAAGGAATCTCTGTTAAACTGGCAGGACTAAATCGGCAGAATGAGACGGGATCTTCCAGTTATTTAGTGCTTATTTTCTGTTAATTTGTGCCATTAATAAAAATGTTGTATCATATGCTGTTTTGAAGAAAATCATGGCGCTGCTAGCTTAATATTAAGCCAGCAGGACCACAAACAAAAAACAGAAAAAACGGAAAAAATGGTATAAATACAAGGGCCAGAATTTGTACTAATTTGTGCCGTCAAAAACCAGCAGATATATACAGATCCATTATACGTAGATCCATTCCGCTTGAACGACGAATTACATTTACCATGATTAGACTTAAGAGTAAAGTATTCATTTCCATGAACAGCATTAATCGGTACTGTGACACTCGAGGCATAATAATTTGTGCCTCACAAATATTCATTCATAGATTTTGTACCCCATCCATTCTCCGAAAAACCACCCCCAAAACCTATTCGGTACAAGAGTGAAGTATTCGTTTCCACAAGCAGAATCAATCGGTACTGCGACACTCGAGGCATAATAATTTGTGCCTCTCAAATATTCACTCACAGATTTTGTACCCCATCCCTTCTCTGAGAAACCACCTCCGAAACCTATTCGGTACAAGAGCTTTACTCTTACTGTACCGAATAGTTTTCGAGAGTGGATTCTCAGAGAAAAGATGGGGTACAAAATCTGTGAGTGAATATTTGAGAAGCACAAATTATTATGCTTCGAGTGTCGCAGTACCGATTAATTCTGCTCGTGGAAACGAGTACTTTACTCTTGTACCGAATAGGTTTCGAAGGTGGTTTTTCGGAAAAGGGATGAGGTACAGAAAATATGAGTGAATATTTGAGAGGCACAAATTATTATGCCTCGAATGTCGCAGTACCGATTGATTCTGTTCATGGAAACGAATACTTTACTCTTGAGCCTAATCATGGTAAATGTAATTCGTCGTTGTTTCAAGCGAGATCTAAATACCTGCTTGTTTTGAACGGCACGGAAATTAGCACAAATTCTGGTTATATTTATACCTTTTTTCCGTTTTTTCTACTTTTTGCTTGTGGTCCTACTAGCTTAATATGAAGCTAGCAGCGCCACGATTTTTTTCAAAACGGCACGTGGTACAAAATTTTTATTAATGGCACAAATTAACACAAAATAAGCACTAAATAACTGGAAGGTCCCGTCTCATTCTGCCGATTTGGTCCTGCCAGCTTAACAGAGGTCACAAAGGAAACCATCTTACATTTGGGCTGGAAAGTTCTTCCACACGCCGCGTATTCTCCAGACTTGACTCCATCAGATTTTCGCTTGTTTGGATCGATGCAACACGCACTGTCTGATATATATTTTTCGACAGTTGGCGACGTACAAAATTTCATCGATGACTTTGTAGCCTCAAAGCCATCATGTTTTAATCGTGATGGGATTCGACAACTGTTCAATGAATGGTGTAAAGTCATCGATAACAACGGAAAATATATCTGTGATTGATCTTATTCTATTGATTTTTAAATAAAGATTGCAATTTGTCGAAAATAGGAAAAAATTAATTACTAGATCTAACATATACTTACTTAATAATTCATATTTTGTTTATATATATATTTCATTTGCTTTTGTTTTATTTCAAACATGTTTTTATGAACCCTGGTGAGAACTAACTCGTTACGTGATACGTCTCTCTCGCGAATCAGTAGCGAACTCTTTGTATTCGTACGTTAAACTTGCATGTATTCTCATTCTCTCGTCTCTCTCTAGTTTCGAAATTTCTGAGATTTCCAAAACTAAAGTTCCATTTTCTAATCAGTTGCAAACGTACGTCTGGTTTTGATTAACTTGGTAGTCAACTTGTGACGTGAGCAATTTGGTACTTGAGATTTCAGCAATTTGGTACTTGGGGGACAAATCGAGGGATTTATGCGGTCCGCAAAAAAGGATAGAATACTTCCCCGTCGTAAATTTCCCGTCCAGCCTGCGGTAACGACGGAGAGAGAGAGAGAAAGAGAGAGGGAGAGGGAGGGAGGGAGAGAGAGAGAGAGAGAGAGAGAGAGAGAGAGAGAGAGAGAGAGAGAGAGAGAGAGAGAGAGAGAGAGAAAACGGGAATCCGTACCAATACGATAAATGGATTTGTCGGCGGCAAAGCAGCTTTTTTGCGCGCGGCCGAGAGGCGGATTGTTCAAGGGACTCGTCGCGAAGATCGCCTTGAGCGTCACATTACGAATTATAAAAGCTTACTCACGTGTTCGTCCACGGAGTACGTCAGCTCCCCGTCGTCGTAGAGAACGAACCACCTCCGTTGCCATCTCTGAAACACAGAAATCAACGTCGGCACTTAGCGAAGACGTTCGTAAATCTCGCCGTTGAAATATCACGAAAATATTAGCGAAAAGTAAGGAAGAGAAGACGAGAAGCGGTTTAAAAGCGGTCGTGAGGAATTTTCCGACCCACAACCGAATGCGAAAAAGTTTCGCGGTTATTCTCGACTCTTCCGAATCTCCAATTTCAAATTCCTCACTTTTACGCCATGTCATTACGAAGTAACAAGGCTCTGCCGCTCTATCGCGAGGCAATTATCGCGATATCTGCAATTACACTTCACAATTTACTTCGCGAGGGATAGGATTACGGTCGACACGCGCGCTGGGAAAAACGTGGCGAGAACTTTCCACGTTGCGCGACTTCGCAATTTTCGTAGAAACGGCATTCCTATGCCGCGCCGCGCCGGCGGCCTCGGGAGAAAACAATCCCGCACGAAACTCAAGGCCTGAACCTGTTCGATTCGCCTTCAGGCGAATCTCCAAAGGCTTCTCTCCCGCCACGTCAGCTGGACAATTAGCACGCGGCAGCCGTTAATTAGAAACAAAGTCGGCAGGGAGAGGCACGATGGAAAGGAAGCGCAGCGCGAGCAGCGACGGCGACGGCGATGGCGACGACGACGACGACGACGACGGCGGCGCGGCGTCACGATTTCTCTCTCGTTCGCCGAGAGCCGCGCGCGCGATGCAAAAACTTCTGGCGCGCCGCCACTTTTCGTGCTGCTTTTCTACGGTAATTCGCGCCGGCGCGGCGGATACTCGGCGAGCGAGCACTTTTGCACTCAGCCTACGCGCGAGGAAGCCGGCTTATCGCTTATCGGCGATATTTATCGTTCGAATTTCCGCCGCGACGGAATCCTTTCCACCGAGTTAAGAGCCGTGCGTATCGCAGGATTTCCATTTCTACTTCTCCGCTGAGAGAGTTGTAGACGTAAAAAAGCGGCGTCGTGACCCATTAAAAAGATAGATAGAGAGATAAGAGCGCTTAATGTTCTAAGGTGCGCCCTCTAAGAGCGCAAGTACATGCATGAGGAGAAATGTTTAGACGAACATACAGAAGCGTACAGAGAAAAGAGTAAAAATCATTGCTGAGAGAAATGAAATGAATGGATATACCGGGTGTGCTATATTTCAAACGGAACGAGTCAAATATTCTGAGAAATAAATGATATCGGGGTCTGACTTTTCAAGTTGTATTGTTTCAAAAGGGATACATTTTGATAGAAAAATTTGATTTTTAAAATAGAGGCGTCAAGGTCAAAATAAAGGTTAAATTATCTTTTTAAATGGAACTCTAATTTTTCCAACACTTACATTTGTAGCGACGAATTCAATGACTATATACTCAAGATGATTAACAGGGAAACAATAGAAAAGAAAAAAATAGTGCTTCAATGAAGCAAAGAAGAAGTATACTTAAATTATTATTTTTACAGTAGAATCCGAGAAATTATTTATGTTAGTCCTCCAACTATCAGGAAAAATACGTTGTAATAAATACACGAAGCGTTTCAAATAAATTAAATTTCAAAACGAATTACAAAGAATGCTTGATGATTTTCAACGAGGATTGCAAACCCGCATAGATGCAAGGGGATAGCATTTTGAATTTAAATTAATAAAATTCTCCGTTTCAAAGAGAAAAATTCTTCTTTCTAAGATGTTTGCCCTTATTAAAGATTTACCAATAAAGTCTGCTAATAAAGCTTTATCTTTGATAAAGTTTTTACTTTATCAAAGCATTGTTTTTTCTTTTTCGAGTCTTTTTCTCATTACTTGACCTCTAATCACTTTGGGTATGCAGTTATTGAATTCGTGACAAGGGCTACAAACGTACATGTTCCAAAAATTAGAGTTCCATTTAAGGAAATAATATAATCTTTATTTTACCTTAACGCCTCTAACCAGAATAAATCTTTTTCTTTTTATAAAAATGTTTCCTTCAGAGCAATACAACTTAAAAAACGGATCTCGATATCATTTAGTTTTCAAAATATTTAATTTGTTACGTTTGAAATTTAGTACCCTATATATACGTGGATACGTACAAAGTATGAAGGAAGCAAGATGGAAATATGTATAACATATTTATTATAAGAGAGAAAGAAAGAAAGAAAGCGTAGAATACAAATATATGCAAAGGAATACATAGGAAAGGAAAATAACCGTTGAGGAAAATAACAAGAATGAATACATGAAAAAATATAAAGAGAGAACAAGACAGAAATATGCGAGACAAAAAAAATATGAGAGCAAGAAGGAAGTAAAACTGAGAAAAACAGAAAATAGCTCAAACCCGATTCCAATCCAAGGAAAAAGATGAAAGTAAGAAGTGAGAAATCGTGTGACAGTCACCGTTGGAAAAAAGATCTCGCTGTTCGCATACAATAGGTTTGTTCGTGTTGCTTGAACTTTCCGCACTTTTCGTCCTGAGAACAAGACAGACGCATATATCTGAACACTGGAGGAAGTAAGAGCGTAGGAGTCAAGTGCGAACAGTTGAAGCAACGCGAACAGACCTAATGAGCATTGAGAAAGAGAGAGAGAGAGAGAGAGAGAGAGAGGGGAGAGAGAGAGAGAGAGAGGGAGGGAGAGCGTCAAGCACCTACGAGTTCGCAGCCTGTGAGTCGACTCGCGGCGAATTGGAGCCAAAGATCCGAAAGAACTTTCATTTTCACGTGGAAATCATTACCCTCGGCGAGGCTCGCAACGAGGGACGCGTGTCATCGTCTCATGTCTCACGTCGCCTCCGCATTGTCCTCGCGGGCGAGCCGGAGGAGAGTTCATAAAAGCGGCGCTTTCACCGCGCGTTACACGCACCGAGATTTACAGTCCTCGGCGGAGACACGCGCGAATTTGACGGGTGCGCAGATTCGACGGAACATCGCATGGACGTTTATAGAGCGAGCGCCCGCCGCCGCCGCTTGCTCACTCGCTCGCTCGCGCGAGCTTTACGCGCGGCGCGATTGTATGCAAATCGCGCACGCGTAACGTGCAAAGCTCGCGCACGCGCACGCGCGCGCCGTATCATTTGACCTCCTTGTACTCCCGTGTGCTGGTGGGCGCGACGACGTGCCGCGGGCGAGCGCGTTGACACAGAAAACGCGAAACGTCATTTCAATCAGACTTTGTGGGAGCAGCGAAGTATACGAGCGCGTAATTTCCGAAGCTTCTATAAGGCGTTTAAAAAAAAGGATTGAGGGCTTTAAAAGCAGGTAGTACTCATAAAGTGGAGAAAAAAAGTCCCAATAATCACGAGTCGAGAAGTTAATATTGTCGGAGAGATGAACAATTATTTATTTTAATCAAAGCACATGACTTATACGTTTTCGGTGCTTTTGTGTTCTCTAATGCAATTTGTGTGTCTTTTATCCGCAAGAAAGTACCATGCTTTAATACGTAATTAATATATCAAACACGATGCCGATTTTTTATACCTTTCTGTTCACGCGGTGCGTGAGCTAAAGTATTAGGGAGGAACTCACACTTGAGGAAAAAAAGCAGAAAGCAGAAAGGCAGAAAACAATCAGAATTCGCGCTAGTAGTCTGTCTCTCTCTTCTCTCTTTTTTTTATCTAATCCCAAGTATAAATCCTCCCTTAGGTATAAGTTTCTGGGGTTATGTTTGAATGGCGCTGTAATCCGAATGCGCAAACTTTTCATCTAGATTATGTTTTACATTAATGCTGTTGGTTAACTTGAATTCGAGCTTACATATAACAGTACGTATTTGTTTATTTAAACATATTTTTAATTTGATTGAAAATGGAGATCGAAGAGGTGCATATCGACACTGCATGCTGTATTATTTCCATCGCAGAAAAAGTGCTGCTGAAACAAGCAGAATTATTTGCGATACCTATGGTGAGCATACTATCTCTGAAAATACATGCCAATCCTGGTCCCAAAGGTTTCGAAGTGGGAGTTTCGATGTTAATGACAAACCTCGCTTTGGACGACATCAAGAGATGAAAAACGAGGATTTCTATTCGAAGATATAGCTCAATCGTCTGTGGAGCTTGCGAAATAGCCTGCCGTTAATTACACAACAGTACTTCGACGCTTACATGCGTTGGGAAATGTCCAGAAGGAAAGGAAATGGGTCCCACATCAACTATCAGAACGAGCTATTGGCAACCGGTTCAACACCTGCATCTCACTGCTTGCTCGACAAAAAAGAAAGAGTTTTTTTATCGGAAATAATAACTGGAGATAAGAAATGGATTTATTATGATAACCCTAAACGCAGAAAGGAGTGGTTAGTTCCAGGGGAACCTTCTACTTCGGCACCAAAACGCAATATTCACATAAAATTCTCCTCTGCATTTGATAGGATCAGAAGGGCGTGCTCTATTATGAACTGCTCAAACTTGGTGAAACGATTACTGCAAAGCGCTACAGCCGCCAATTGTTCCGGTTGAATGAAGAAATTTAGAAAAAACGTCGTAGACAGGAAAAGGAAATCGAAAAGTCATCTTGCTTCACGACAACGCTCGGCCACATGTTACTTCCGCGACTAAGGACATCTTACTGGAACTTGAATGGGAAGTTCTACCACATAGCCCAGATCTTGCCCTTTCAAATTTTTACCTATTTCGGTCAATGCAGAACCATCTATCCAGTGTGCAATTTAGAAATGAGATTGAAATACGAAAATGGGTCGAAAATGGGGAATTCATCTCATTGAAAGATGCGTCATTCTTCAATAGAGGAATCTATCTTGCCTGAAGAATGGTCCAAAGTTGTAGCAAGCGAGGGAAAATATTTTGATTAAACAAGTATACATAAGAGTTCAGCGCCGCTCCGCAGGGACCGGCGTCACGTGTTTAACGTGTTAACATACTATATAGGCCAAACTTACTATAAAACTTACTATAAACAGAGTTTAACTCGTTAATTTTAGTTTAGAGAAAATGTTACATTCCACAATTGCCATAAACCACGGTTAACATCGATTTCCCGCAATTAAAGTTAAACCCTCAACTTGGGAC